AGTTGTCTTGAACCGTCTGCGAAAAGAACAAGTACAAAGAATTCCTATGTTGTACGAAGAACAGTGACAGAGAAACAGAAGAAACTTGTGCCTTCACTTTGAACTCTTTTTATTCGTCAAATAAAGCCCATATGTGATTTGAAGAAAAAATGGCTAGTGGAAATTTTTGGATTTTGTGTAAGGTTCTGCACCTCTGCTTTATCGTTACTTTTTATTTTTTATTTTCTGTGAAAAAATATACTGCACTACAAAAAGCAATTTAATCAATAATAATTTTGACGGTATTCCTCATGGCTTCGCAACCGATCGGCATTTAAGTAAAAGTGTTGTCAAGATTGAAGAAACGAGATTAGTCTTCTCAAACATGTGCTAAAGTCGTTTATTTCGTCTTCATTTCGGTGCTATTCGGAGTTTTTTTCCTCTTATAAGTTTATGTTAATACTCCCTGTAGTCTGAAGCACAATACCCATCTGTTTTACACGGTGTAAAACAGATGGGCTGAGAAAAACAGGGAAGAATCTGACATTATCTTTCTTTTAGTCGTGACTGAGAACTAACTATTAGATGCGGGAAGAATACATGTATAACACGATTTCAGCCCGATTCTCTTCACTGTAATATATGCGATCAAAATAGTCAGCACCGACAGCAAAATCTTTTCTAGAATAGCCGCAATAAGTATGTATTTTAGATTGAATGTAAATCAAGAAGAATTAGAAAGCAGTTCGATCACACGTACACTGAAGCATCTTAACAACTCTATCCAATCAAGAATACCTGTTTCGTTCGTCATTCGTCTTGCCTTACACCTTACAAATTTGACTAAAGTTAGTATCCACACAAGAAATGCTTTTGTTAAACCGTGATGCTATTCTTTTATAAAGCTTTTTATCAAAAAAATGCTGTTGTCTATTGTATTTAGAATTGTGTGCAATATGTATGATATGTGAATGACGCTAGCCGATTATTATAGTGAAGTAAATCCAATCAAATCTCATCATGTACATATAAGTACAAGAAACTGGTTATATTGATTAAAATAGGCTTCATAAGATATTCTTCTTTGCGACTGCTCGATCATCAACTGCTATACAATTGTTAAAGTTTGCGGTGTATTGCATCAAATCTGTGAACGAACTGCAGCCCATTGCCAAATTTTCTACGAGAGCAGTCTCAACAAAACGCGAAATTTATATTTTTTTTTAAAACGCGTTCATTTTATAGAAAAAACTGCAAAAAACGTGATTTTTTTAAAAACGATTAAGAACGCAAAAGAAAACACTGGCGTTTTCTTCTGCTTTCTTTAATGTTAGAGAAAAAATCCGCTTGAATGCTGCTAGAAAAATACGCGTTGATCTTCGTTTGACTTTTGGGTGTGTTTAGTTTGCCACACATTTTTGTTTAATGCTGTGGATGTGAACAAGGTACAGAGTTGTTCTTCGCGTATTTTCTCATCTGGTGTGTAGTTAGTTGAAAGCTGTAGCTTTCAACTAATTTTCTACGTGACTTGTCTCACCAAAACGAGAAAATAAAAAAACCCGTTCTAATCCGGTTTTTCGTAGATGTGTTGAAACGAGAAACCAGAAAAACGCCTTGTTTTTTCATCACACTGAAACCATCCGACCAGAGAACGCTTTCCTACGCGTTTCAAGGGAAAACGAAAAAAGATGCTATATCTCATTTTCTGGTTTCGGCACGTTTAAGAAAAAACATTTTGGAACAAAATAAAACATGGCGTTCGTCGCATTCGTGAAAAAATCGAGAAAAACCGAATTCTTTTAAAATTTCGCTGAAATCCAAAAATAAAAACTGGCGTTTTAGTCGTTTTTTTTTACAAATGCGACGAAACGCCATAGTTGTTTTTCTAAGATCTGATATCTTGTCACTGTCTGAAATATTTTGTATTAAAGCGGGAGAAAGGGATATCACTCCAAGAACTGGAAAAAAGGACATGTACGATCCTCTACCCAGAAAATATTTAATTACTGTTGATCATTAATGAATGTTGATAGCCATTTAAAAATATGTTGTTAGAGAGTTTTAATTTCGTGTTGTCATTGTCTCAATCAGAAGTGTGGAAAAATTGAAGTTTATCTAAGACACATAAATGAAGATGAAAAATAAAAGTTCTAGCTTGCGATGACAGCTTAAGATAAAAAACATGTGTTTTTTCGACAATAATGGTTAGATCAAAAAACAACTGAAACAAGTTAAAGTATGGAAGAGTGAACTTCCAACTCTTCTGGAGCAATACAAGTGTTCAGATTAGCACTGTTAGCCCCGATATTAGTATTCAGCTGTTGAAACGCTTGTTGAAATGGTATAAAATTTCCATCGGGATTATGCATTTTTCCTACATTATGGTCATTTAGTATAGCAAAACAAACTTGTTTAAATTGATTTTCAAATTCGAACTCCAATAATACATCTTTAAATAATTGTGCAATATGACCAGGAGGATTTTTAAATGCCCCACAACCAAATGCCGATAAAACAATAGAATCATGATTATGTAGCAAAGCCAATGATAATATAGTACGAATTTTTTCTTTGGTTTTTTCAGTCATTATAGCATCCAATTCCAAATGATAATTAGATTCATTATAATCAGCATTATCAGTGTATACTTTAACTAATTTTGGATGTACATACGCTGCTACTGCAATAAATGACATTAGATAAGGTTGTTTTAATAATTTATATCCGGTAATTTCTGAACTTCTAAATACTGTAACTGCCGGTGAATAAACTCCTCCAAATTCTGGTATTGGATAATCATATTTAACAATGGCGCTTGCATTTTCATAAGTTGACCGACGAAATAAGTTTTCTTCTTGTGCGCCTGCACCACTTTCCCAACCTCCACCGTTATTAGTCGACGAAGCCATATTTAGTACAACTGGATTAAAATCAGATTGTAATAATGATAATGCAACTTCCAAACAATCACCTTCAACTACATTATAAATACAATTCTTATTATTAGTACTATCATTCTTCAATTTTATTTGTTTCCACAGTTTAAATGGTTTATCAATGATTTTTGAATTATTTTTAGAATAATCTAATTGTTTGATATTAAATATTATTTTCAATATTTCTGATGGTTTTGAATCGACATCACCATCATCATATACATAATAATATCCTAAATGCTGTATTCGTTTTGTTTGTTGACATATTAACTGTCTTAATTCTCTAATTTGATTTCGATCTATATCATTCGTTGAACCATTACGAAAATTAAAATAATTACGCCATAATAAATAATGATGATATGTCCAAGTTTCTAATAATTTTTTATACAAGGATTTTTCTGTGTACAATTCACTCGCTGAAATTTGCTCGTATTCAGATTTGTATAATTGTTTCAATGAAGCGTATTCATTTTCATCGACAATACGAGTAACAACATGGTGGGTGGTTAAACTGGAGATGGAAATGATTTCATCAGAATTTAATTGATGAGATGGAGTGGATGATTTCACTTCAATTGTTGATGCACTCATAATAATTTAAAAAGTTTTTTTATTAATAGTTTTATATATATATATATATTGGTACACCAGTTTAGATGAAATGGACATTTAAAATATTCAAAATATGAAATTTTGAAAATCTGAAAAGATAACATAAAGCCGACTCGAATGTACATGGAGACATTATCGAAAAGCCGATGCGTGGTGAGAACAATGGATGTCCAACTGGTGAGTATGGGATGGTAAATTTCCGTCTTCCTCATTACCACCAGGAGTGTGCTGCGTTGTTTACCATCCATCAGTCTGACAGCACAAACATCACAAAACAACTATCCCCCATAATAGAAGACCACCTGGTCTTCTATTTTGTCCCGTAGGTCGAGTTCTAAAGGATGATCTGCTATTGAGATCAAATTTTGTCGCCTGTTACTAGTCCAACGGTAACCACCACGTACTTGAAGTCCATCCCCTATTAGAAGTACATTTTAGCGAAATTTTTTGAAAATTCCTCTAGAGCATTTCTGATTTCTTTCGCGGACATAACAGAAGACCACTGGTCTTCTATTTGGCTTTCAAGTCATATAACCGGCATATCTATTATGGGGGAGGAGAGGGATTACTTCTGTTAATATTTCTTTGAGACAAATTGAAAAATAAAAGCAGGCCACAAAGAAATTCTCTAAGATTATTGTTCAATACTTTGTACCGTAAAATCACCTGTCATTAACATTCTATACCCATGCCTGTTTTCTCCGCACAAAATACGTATTCTTTCTGCTCTCTTTTTTCTACTATAAACATCGAAATATTTTTTGTTTTCTGTTTCACACCTTTCTTATTCACTTTGCTTTCGCCTTCTCTTATCTTCTGTTCTATCGTCCACTTATCATTCTATACTTTTTCTCTCATATCTGTAATCAAAATTTATATTAACTGTACGTTGGCATTTTCCAACTGATGACACATACTGTTTTAGTAGGAAAAACAAAGCATCAAAACATTTATCATTTCACTCTGAGGATATATAATTATTACACTTCACAAGCAATGTCTACTAAAACTAAATAAAACTAACACATAACAGACGCTGCATGTAGACGTACTTCCATTTCTTTTCGTATATGGTGTGTTTACGACTGAATAGTTTTCATTTAGTCAAAACCGACAATCATTGATTTGTTCATCGAGTTTTTGATTTCAGAATACAAAGAAAAATTCTTTGTTTTTCCTACTAAAACAGTATGTGTCATCAGTTGGAAAATGCCAACGTACAGTTAATATAAATTTTGATTACAGATATGAGAGAAAAAGTTTTTTTATTAATAGTTTTATATATATATA